AAACAGCATATCTTTAAAATTTCTGATAAACAATCTCGCGCGCTGGAGATACTGGATGTTTTTTTAACTACAGTGTTGCCACTTCTCTCTTTGAAACTGTTGAGTTTTTTAATCAACAGTTTCAAAGTTTTAAAAGATATGAAATAGACAATAAAACAAATTCCAAATTCGAGAGTCAAGGTGCCCATGTTCGGGTGGAGGACTATGTTATTCGAAATCTGATGACTCTAAGTACCGTTGTTTTTTCATAATGCGAGAAACATGCACACATTCATGTAGATTCTTCATTATTTAGTTTCTTTAAATGTAGTACAGGGCGATAATATTTGGTGGCAACAATATGAAAAGCGATACAGCCGTTTATAGAGATTCGACGCAAAATGTCGCTTCGAGACTAATAGCCCCTCTGGACTAACGCCTATTTGGGTTAAAAATGACACATCAAAAGTGCTTCTAATAATACAATACGTCCTGAAAAACATTTTTTGAGCCCTCAGCATTTGATGAACTTGATCTCAAATATTTTATATTTTTTACACTAACTTATTTTTTTATATTTTCCATTTCCCTAGAAACATATCCATCACTTAAATCAAATAAAATAGAAAGACTTTTAGGATAAACCAGCCAGTCATTCAATTCGAAGCTAAGTAAGTGTAGCTAGTCTATATTTTATTCGTGACCACTTTTGATATGATGAAATTTTAGCGAATCTGTTCACATTTTGTTATAAAAGCAATAATTCTGTTACCAAAGCATGTTTCATATTGTTTGGAAAGTAATATAATAATTATATATTTTTATATTATGTGTAATAAAACTACATATAGCAATTAGTTTTTAAACATTACCTAACAGACAATAACGATCAAATAACACTTTAATAAAAAAAACTTAAAACTAAAATGGTAAACAAAAAAATTAGAAAAAATTAAGATCACTTTTTAATGGAAAAAGATAGATGACATCAACAAAGTAAGGAAAGAACACGATTGACTGATCGATGAGCATCTAAAATCCGGGTTGAAGATAATTTCTAGTAATTTTTTTCCAGTGCACGGACATTATATAAATAAGTTTTGTATTTACATAGAAAATTTATAATTCTTTATATATGTATTATGCAGTCATATGTATTTTAATTCATGTGTCGGAAAAAATATAATTTATGAGAGAAAGAGACTAGGTTGTTGATAATTATTCTCAAATTTTGTACCACTTATTTTCTCTGCGAACTTAAAAAATGCTTCATAATTTGCTTGTTTTTAGTTTAAATTAAAATAAGTTATTTAAAGATTAGTTAAGAATACTATAATTATTTGAAATAAATATCAGTCTCAAATATTAATATATTTAGCTGTCAATATACTTGAATTAAAAAGTATAACCAACAAAAGTATCTTGTAGTTGCCAAAGTTTAGATTTCAGATAGAAAATAAATGTAAATTTGACTTTTCTTCTTTGCATTTTTATTAGTGATTCTAGGAAAAAAGCCCACAGGAATAATGATCTCAGGAAAAAAGCCCACGCGGAAATATGGCCACACAGAAAAAAGCTTATGGGGAAAAGTTCTCACTCACACTGCGTAGGTTTAGTTCTAGAAACAATAAGAATGAGAGGGTGCTTTTAGACACATAAAAAAACCACCATCTCATTGTACAAAATTTATGAAATATAAATTTTATTTATTGTATAGTACAAGCTTGCTTAACAGAATTTCGCTCAGCCAAAACGACAACATAAAATCAAACTGAACCGTTAAATCCCAAACAACTCGTTTCCAATTTTTCTAAAATAAACTTTTTCATTTTTTTAAAATGTAAATACGTATTTTATGATATAGACAAGCGATCGCCGTAATTTGTATACAAAAATAATGGACTGTGAAATTTACTGGGATGTACTTTGCACTGAAGAGGACATTACTCTGCACGGAGAATGATATTTAGGTACTTACTTTCATTGATGAATTATGCCATTTAAAATCTTCTATGTACTAAATTGTTCTAGTGTAAATGAATGAAATTACCCGAAAGTGAAGCATTAAATATTTAAATAAATTGTCAAAAAAAATTGCTGTTCATCCCAAGTGAAATTTCGCTATTTTACGAAGCATGGCGCTTTTTTTACCGGTCAAGATGGTTGGAGAACTGTAAACAGTTGTCTCTTGTCTGTATCTTGTAATAAAATTTTAACTTTTTTTCTTTTTTAAGATTAAAGATGCATATTGTTTTCATATAATTTATGCAAAAAGGGGGAATATGAAAATTCTGAAATTTTCCCTCATTATTCTGAACATTATGGTTGAATATGTGTGTATTTTCTACGAAAACAAACCTGAGCATGCGTTATTCGAAGAAACGTGCAACACAAAATTGCTCCGCCCCATTTGGTAGGTATAAACAGACTTCTGATGTAATTACTTAAACAGCCTGATGAATAATTCCGTTTTTGAAATTGAAATCATAGTAAATTTGTGCAGAATGTTTATTACCGATATCAACAAGCCCATGTTACGCATTTTTAATGCTTTCGTATCATCTATGCTGCTATTTAGGGTTAACTTGCACAATATGAGGATTCTTACATAGCTAATGGTCCGAATTGTATTACTATTTGGAAGAATTTCTTGTAAAATAGAATTATGAATTATGAAGGAGACCCTAGATGGCTTAAATGGAAAAAAAAAAAAAGCAGGATTTAAATATAATTGTATGTATTAGGCTTTGACTTCTTTTTATTTGCTTTCGCCTCGTGCCTATCCTTCGTTTCGGATTAAACTGGAATTATACTCAATAGATACTGCAACCTCATGTATCCACTGTGACTGAATCCAATGAACTACGCGATATTCTTAGCAAAAATTGTTCCTATATGTCTCATACTTCGTTTCATATCTTTGTTTCGGATTTAGTTGCTGAAATTTGTTGAATTTGCTTTGGATAGCAGCTGAAATTATGTCTCATACTTCGTTTCATTTCTGCGCTTTTGATAGCTAGTGAAATTTAAGCTATGCAATCACTTTTTTTCCCCCCCTTTTAATTTTTTTTCTTTTTCTTTTTTCTTTTTTGAAAGGGGATACAGGTTGGGAAAATCAGATTAAAAGAGTACTAATACTTAACTTACTTATGTTTGTGACTTAATAGCTATTTAGAGTAAATATATAAAATTAGAAACATTTAGTTATTTATTATTGTTATTCGTTTAATAACGCCAAATCATTTTGAGGTTAAAGAAAAGAAACTAAGCTTTACTGGGAAAAGTGCCTCAGCTACTATTTAAAAGAGAAAGCTTCAAGTAGCTTTATTCGAGCTATAAACCCAGGGAAAATTGAAAAGAAAAAAGAAAAGTTGACAAGTAGCAAGTCAGTAGGAAGTCGAGAGCAAAAAGAAATAAAAAGTTTATGACACCAAGTCAGATGAAGATGATACGGAAAATGCCTCTTACAGACCGCAGTAGCTCTATTGAAGAAATTCGCTGAGATCGGGAAAGAAGTTAAGCCAACTAAGGAAATATATTTCAGGATGAAATTAGCTTTTCCTATGATTATCGTAGAGCAGGAGGAAAACGAAAATATCATTCATTTTCCTGCGAAAGCCGCCTAGACAGTATAGTAGTTAGGGAAGCCTAATGCGGTACCGGGCCGGGGTTCGAATCCCGGAGAAGGCACAGCTGTAGTTGTCAAATCATTCATAGGAGGTAACAGTGGCCACCTGTTAGGTGCTTCCACAATAAATTGACCACCACTTCTGGCCTTAGTAGTGGCCAAGCCTAAGTCGGCTAAGTGCCAGCCGATTGGGGTTAAAAAAAAGTCCTGCGACAAATCTGCGACCAGTTTAATTTAGTCACAGTGGATACACGAGGTTACAGTATCTATTGAGTATAATTCCAGTTTTATCCTGAAAAAATAGTCAAAATCAGATGGTGCTAATGCGATGCTAGTGATAAAGACCATAGAAAATTGCAAAAATTCATCTAAAAGTCTGAAAAGACGTATAGCTGAATTACGTTATGAGTAGAAAAAATACTAGCTCATATCAGTCATCCAAAACTGCTAGATAATCTTTCAAGTTATGATACTGTTCAAATGAAATTTTACTAATAAGCTCGTAAACACTGTTTACTAGTAATTTTTGAAATAATCGCGATCGTTTAACTCTCCGATTTTTACTTGTGTTTTTCATAGGCGCATTCTAGTATAGAGAAGTGGAGAATTAAAATAATAATAATAATGCATGGCTTGTATATCTGATAGGAGAAATGTTGGTTTAAGAAATTTTTTAAGATATCTAAACCCAAATTAAACGATATCTTTAATTTAAAAACTGTTTTCCTTGCTCCGTTCCGAAACGTACAAAATCAATAAAAACATTTTAAGCAAAATAAAGAAAAAAAAAAAAAAGGATTTTCATGGCCAGAATTAGGTTTTCAGAATCCTAAGTAACATTCGAAAAGATTTTAAAATTTAAATTCAAATACAGAACAAATTCAGAATCATTTTAATCAAAAATACTATTAAATTTTGTGGAAAGGAAACCCAGATGATGCGTAACATGATGTATATCTAATTTTTATATAAGATGCTGATCCATTTATGCGCTTTTTATAATTTTTCGTCTATCTAAGCCAATATCTATCAGAATATCTCCAGTAAAGCATCTTAACTTAATAATAATAATAAACATACCTTAGTTTATCTGTTGCTCACCTATCATTACATCTCATAATGTTTAATTCCTTCTCAAAATTCCATTTAAAATTCCATCGTGCATTAGAGGTACATAATAAATTCCTTAGGTTATTGCAAGGTATTATCTTTTTATATGAAAGGAATGTAAAAGGGTTTTAACGAACCTGACCAAAGTCGGCTAGAATTTCTTTACATCTATTCAAGGCCAGAGGTAATGGCAATGCCATTTTTTTGCAAAAGTCTGTAGAAAAGATGAGAAAAAGGGAGGAATAAAAAGTATATATATATAGATATATAATATATAGCATACCTGCGTTTCTGTAAGATTAAGATTCTGAGCCAGTTGCCTCCTTTCACTTCCAACTACGTAATGGTTTTTCTCAAATGCGTGTTCAAGTTGTAAAAGCTGTGATGGTGAAAAAGCCGTGCGGATCCGTTTTGGCTTGCGGAAAGGGTGAAAAAGGAATGCTGGAGCGTCCGCACCTGTAATGGGGGGAAAACATCATCTTATCATTGAGGCATAAATTGTTTCTACTCGTTTCCTTGCGGCATAAAAATCTTCAAGATATTTCAAGGAAAAGTGAACTAAGAATATAAATGTTTCTCTCCGCAAGATATGTCGATAAAGCCTTAATGGATGAAGTAATACTGCTGGATTTCTGAAGATAAGAATGCGTAAGCAATATGCTATCCTTCCCGTGAAAATAAAAAGAATATGTAATAAATTACTTTATTTTATAGTCACTACTCATTTTCCCTTCTTTAGGTAGCACCCACTCATTCCACTTTTACTTTTAACTAATGACAAAAATCTAAAAGTCGACTTAAACATTTAGTCTTTTGATTACTAATTGGTCACAGTAAAAGTAGATCTCAAAGGGTAAATGAAATGAATGCAATATTAATTTAAAATAAAAGAAGTGATAGAAATTTGATTTTGTTGTTAAATTATTGGACTTTAATAACAATAAAGATCTCTATGATTTTGCTTATGGCTGCGGTGGATTGACTTTGGTAGCAGTGAATGTCACTGAAAATAATTTTTTGCGGCTTATGAGATATTACATAACGAAATGCGAAACAATATGAGAAACTGAACCAGAATCTCATTAACGAAGTTTGTGCAGTTTGGTAAAAATCACGTTTTAGAAACGGTAGATTGCTATACCTGCCTATAGTACGGAGGGCCTTGTGATGGACGTTTAAGGAAACTGGGCCTATTTAGGTATGGAAGAGGAAAACCTTAAGCAGAAACCCATTCAGTTAAAGGGAATAGAACCTGGGCAAAGCTACCATGTTTCGCGTTCTTCATAATCATAAGGCCATAAGCAGTTTACTTTAAAGTTGCCGATCTTTTTAAGTACTAAGCTTAAAGTTGAAAAATTGCCTATCTTTTAGCTATCAAAATAAGGTCAAAAGTACTCACACTTAAATAATATTAGATATAATACACTTGGGTAATATCAGATTTCATTATTTGTGTGAATTTGGTGTTCCAGTTCAGAAGTACAAAAACGGAAATTAAGAATTTCTGTGGACATTTTTTTTTTTTTTTTTTTTTTTTTGAAAAGAAAGTTTTTTAATAATATAAAACATGAACAGAGGGTTTTCCGCATAAACACTCAAGAGCAAACATGTTTCGATAACAGCTGTCCGTTTAGCGATTTAATATGCAACATCTCTTTTCCTTTACATACACGACTATAAAATGCATTAAGAAAAGAAGTAGAATAGCTTGCTGTGGCATGCCCACTGCAGTGGGTTTAAGCTAAAATACAAGAAACGTAATAACGGCATTCGCTGAAGTTACACCAAGTTTACTACTACTGTATGTCCAGATACTTACCTGTGTCAGTCAGTACAACTTATTATGAATAAATTTGTAATTAACATTTCTCAAGCTCAACTGAAAGTATTTAAGTTGTAAGCAGACTTCGAAATTTGATGTCATACTGGGGTCAGTAACTTGCTGCCAAGTATGAAGAATTTCCTACCTTTAAGGGCTGTTGTTGCAAATGGCATTTGCAACTTAATGCAATCTTGAAAGATTAATTGTGCTAATTTATACTTACGTGTAAAATGAGACCCATAATTTCTGCAAGTAACTTACCAAATAACGGCATATTTGCACTTTCGTTGCAGATAACTACCCAATAAATACCTGCCTCGCAGTTGTAACCATGTACAATAAAGTTGTCCTCTCTTAATCATGCATTTAATCTTATTTATTTGATTCAATTCAGACTCACATCTTCATACTTATGTGTCTCTTATCTTTCAGACCATGGAAACAGAAATTATTCGTCTGTTTTTTAACATTGCGGTACACTGCTAATCGATCTGCTGCTAATAAAAAGTACCCTTGTAGGATTCCCCACTGTGTAATTCTAAGTTACAGTTAAAAGTAAAGAATCTTAACCAGTAAACGAATAATCGCTTGAGTGAATTAGACAGTGAATAAACTTGGAAAGGGCTAAAAGACACTTTATTATTCAAATAAGATTTAACAGAACTCCGTCTTGGAGTTGTACAATAAAGCCGACACTTGGGCTTTATCTTAAGACACTAAGAATTAAACTAAACTAATCTTAACTAAAGAGATATAGCCGAAGCTATCAAAATTCTAACAAAGTTGGCCCCTTAACGCTAACTGACTGCAAAGCTATCAAGGGCCTAAAGTACGGCCGAGCGTAATAATAGCTTACGAGAGAGTAGCCTAAGAAGGCGGACGCGTGCAGCCAGAATATCTGTTATATCTCAAGACAGTATAAGACAGTATAACTTCACGATTAAATATCGCACATCCTCATTAGCATTCAGACGTGATTCTAAAACTACGTTCTGGCCGGAAGTGGTAAGTTGAAATTAAGAAGCGGTAGGAAAGGAAGTTTAACTCAAAATTTAACTGTTAATAAAATTAACATAATCCTTACACCCTAATTTCCCTATAATGAAAACTGTACATCATTCGTAAGCACTTGAAAGCATTTCGTAAGCAGTCGAAAGCCTATTGAGAAAGTGAAACATCAATATGTGAAAATAGATCATAGGAAGGAAAAAAGAAAATTCATTAGAAGGAAGCGGATCGTATTTATGATTCTCTCGTGATTAATATATTGATCATGCCTGTGTAGTTACAAGTTGTTGCAACAGCAAGGCAAATATTTACTGGCAAGTTATTATCAAAGTCGCCATGGAAATGATGGGTAAAACGTAGTTAAAATGTATAAATAACTATTCACTTTTTATTATTTTTGTTAATCAAGTAGGGCTTATTTCCTTATTACAGCTACTAATGCAGTTGTTTAGCATTGAATATAACTAAATTTCTGTTTCGTGTCGAGGAATGTAATTGTCAATTGTCAAAGATCAGGAATTTTTTCAATGTTAATTACAGCAACATAGTCTATCATTCTTAATGTAAGTTCATTTTATAAACAAAACAAAATGTTTTTATTATCACTTCGCTGATGAAATCCTAGCTTAGTAAATAACAAAACTGAGACTACTATCACTAAATGAAATATTTAGTTTCCTCAACGGTGACTTCCAGGTAAACTAAAATATAGACTTCTTTACCCTTTACCTGGTAGAAAATTTTAGGGTGAAAGAAAAAAGAAAATGCACTGCGTAGTAGCGTGATACCAGTTACTAGAGCCAAAATTAAAGTAAAACATTGGTTTAATCTTGCAAAAATCCACTCATCATAGACAGTAGTAAATAAATATTCAAAGAGCACTTTTAACTAAATAAATCTTACATAACCTCTGTTTACAGATTTCTAAGTTAAAGGGTCTAAGGTAACCTGATTAAGATTCCAAAATGTTTGAAAAATACTTTATCATTCGCCGACTTTTAAATTTAATGATAAAGGATGTTTGAAAATAATATCTAAAATTATTTTATCATTACATGTCATATTTCATTATCTTTCAAAGAAAGGACTTGAATGACAATTACTTTTGAAAAAGGAATTAGTTTTGTTCAAACAAAAGAGCGTATAGAATTCATTGAAGCATTGCTAGAAGAGAGCTTCAAGACAAAGAGAAATCCAATTTACTTACCTGTCAGATAATGCCCTTCAATATGCAAACCAAATGCAAATAAGCAGAAAGAACCCTAGGTTCCCTAACGTGCAGGAATCTTACTGTATTACGATATAATTTGTGGGTTTACTTAGATAATTAATCACTTTTTTTATATCTTTCCTGCCTCAGACGTAATTTAAGTCAAAATAAGAATACATATACACTTAAACATAAATTTCGTTTCTGGAAAGAAATAAGCCATTCACAACGCTTAAAAATTCTTTTGATATATGTGAACTTTTCTAAATTACTGCAGCTTGGACAAGAACAAATAAAAATGCTTTATAACTTTATTGTTCTTGCAAAGACGTATTTAGATAATAATGCTGAAGGTACCACGATAAATATGAGGGTTAGTTAAACCATTGGAACTGTAACTTTCTTTTTACTATTATACGTGCACTTGTATGTAAAAAGACTGTAACTAACAGCTGTAGGTTCCCCAGAATGGATCTTTATGATGTCGCCCTGGACAGTCTAATGGTTCACGGACTGAGTGCTTCTCCGAACTCCAGGCTGTAGGTTCGAAATCCGCGTAAAGCTTGCTTGTTTGTGTACGTCCTTTCCCCTTTCTTGTGAGTGTAATATCGATGTATCCAAGCACCCAGGGTAACGCTGTCGTAGATAAGAGAGCTAACTGACCAATAGATTCGGCAATTCCTGCCATAAACTTAAGAAATAATTATCTTGCTATTTGAGGGGTGATAATAATTCTCAAAATTTCACAAACCTTTTATGAATTTCCGTTCAAAATGGCTCATGAACTGGGGAATATAGACATATATATATATATATATATATATACATAAACCTCCTTCTTCATATTCTGTCGTGTTGTTTGCCTCATTTCCATATTTGCAAATAGCACTGATTATAACAATCTGTGCCCTTAATGGATAGATAGGAAAATCTACAGTGATTACAAAAAACAGCTATAACGCCCTGTGAATCAGTGTCAGTGATAGGATAATCATTTACATTTTCCTATTAACTGGGTTGCTGTTTTATAATCATTCGTTGATAATAGCCTTAATAATTTCGTAGCGTAAAGTAATAAAAAGATGATTAGTGTTATTAAAATATTCTCCATCACAATAGCCCTGGCCGAAGAAAATGAAAGAACACGAGACAGTAAGTATCGAACTAAACATATATATTAGATAGGTAGATAGATAGACATAGAAACATAACTATAATATTATAATTCGTTCCACGTTTCAAATTATTAGCTTAAGTCCTTCCTGTTGTAGTTACTACATCTCCTTTTGAATTTTTTAAAAATTACAATAATTTTCTGTTATTCTCCCTAGACTTTTACATGCACACCTGGTAAATGGAATGTATTAAAAAGTTAAAGTAATTTTATATTAATTTCTGTACATTTATTTACAGGGAAAATTATCAGTGTATAAATAAAAAACAATACACAGCCATTACATATTAAAAAGTTTTAATTAACGCTTTTTTAAATACATTACTTTTCTATTAATGTATATGAGCTACATATTTGCCAATTGATATGTGATAAAATGTTATATTGATATACGATGATGTGTTTTTAAATTAAATATATGTAAAACGTTATTGAATGAAATGTATGTATATATATTAAATATGTGTACATCCTTACTAGTTTAGAACTATTTTTTTTTTTTTTTGGTAAGCTAATTAAATTTCCATGCAACTTTCTTTCAATTAATATATGCTTCTTAAAATTATATACCCTAGTCCATTGTTCTATTTTTTTCATTATTTAAATAAGCGAAGAACTTAAAAACGCTTAAATAAATTGACAGCAAGCTTAATTTTCTGATTTGAAAATACGAAAAACGATTCCTATATCTGTAGTACTATGTAACCTCTTTTATGACTGATATATCATCTTCTATGATATTTACATTATTGAAACTAAAAGGGAAGTCTGTAATAAATTTTTCTGTATTTTCATATCTTCTCGATTTACTCTTGAATTTCTGAAACCGTTTTTACTGTTTACTTGGTTAGAACGAACCAATATTAATGGTAATTTTTCAATTTCTGAATTTTGTTTCTGTAATTAATCCTATATTTCCCAACGGGGCTTTTAAGCCTCAATTTTAAATTTAAACAAAAGGGGGGGAACTTATATCATTTTTGTAAGTTTAATATGAGATGTTTCTCATGCATAAAGAAATATAATAAAAAATTACAAACTCTTTTACAAAAAAAATAAAGCAGTTTGAGACATCAAGGATTTAAAGAAAAAGGTTATTTCTATTTTTTACCTATGTTTGACATTTAAAAAAAAAAGTTTATATGAGCATTGATGCATTATTTTATGTTAAAAATTTCATAATAATATACGTATTGTACTGTCCTGCTTTATATTAAAATTGTTATTCTGTTTAACAAATGTAATTTTCTTTCTGTACCTATGAAGAGGAGATTTTTAAAAAGTACTTGCAATAGTATGCTTATATTTGGTGCTGATCAGCAACTGTGAAGTTATTTAGATTTACTTGAGAGAATTTCAATGATACTTTTTTCAACGAATTGTTAAGATAAAATTTAACATTTGAAAAGTTTTTCCCGTAAAACATATTTCTGATTCAATTAGATTACTTTATTTCAGGCAACACACACTTTGGTTACTTCCCAAAGATCTATCTTAGATTTGAACGAGAGTTCTTGATGATGAGGAATATATAGGGAGAACGCGTGTTCAGTTCGCTCGTTTGAAATCAGCAAGCAAAAATGGTTTTCAAGCATTGCTTAAGAACTTACTAATTTTATTAGTAATTGAGATCGTACATCATAATCGTAAATGACATCGTGCATCGTAATTGACATTGTACATCGTAAGTGATATTGCATATCGTAATTCTACATCGTAGTCATCATATATTTTACATCAATTTTTAAGAGCAATAGTCTAATAAAAATTACTGTAAGGAGAAATTTATCACATGAATAACAATTTTACTTGAAAAAGATTCGAACTGACCACAAAATGCTGAAGATTTTCTTTTTTGTAAAAATAAAGCAGAAATTTAAAACATGTTGCCGCATCCATTACAAATAAATTAAAGATTAAATCAATGTTAGTTTCCTTTTCAAAATCCATTCTGTAAATTTTTATCCACATAAATTTATTTTATTTTCTAGTAAATGTGAAAGGCATTGGATGCTAGCACAGTAGCACGTTGAGACGTATTTTCCGAGTAGTAGTTTTATGTACATGTAAGCAGATAATATATGAATATAACTACAGTTTAGTGTTGACTGTAGCTTTTGCAACATAATAATTACTCCACCAATAACTATACGTCTTTCCTATTCATCATTATTATCAGCATAACAGCATTAATTAATTTTATCGTTTTGATTTCAGGAATTGAAGCTCATCCGCTACGTACAACAGCAATGGAAGGACTTTAATTTTAATAGATATTACTTATTAATGACCCTGTTATTTGAAAAGTATCATCTGAAATAAGTTTGAATAAAAATAACATTTTGTTGTGAATAGTGAATAATCATCAGTGCCCCAAAAATGGACAACTTACTTAAAAATGAATTTGGAACTGTTTCATATTTTACTTCATCACTAGTCTCAGGACAAGTTAAATGATCCTACGACTCTGTACTAAGTTTCTGTATTTACGACAATCTAGCGTTACCATATTATCGGTTTATAACTCTGACAGTCAATTTTTCGAAGCTACCAATTGCCGATTCGATTCCCTTACTGTCGGGTTTCCAAAGCTTTCGGCTAAAGTTTCAAATAAAATAAATTAACAAACTGAAAAATTCAGTTTGATAAAATTTTTTTGTAAGGGGAGGTACTGCTGTTTTTTGTACGTTTCAGATGTGCTTGCTAAGCATGTTGATTATTAGTGACTGATTTCAATAATTAAGTAACATATTTATCTTTCGTTGATTTTATATATATGGTAATATATGCATTGCAAATGTTACATATATGCACATATACAGTATTTTTGCTTTTTATTGTATTAAAACACTAAAGCTGACTAGTTTTCATTATAAGCTATGTTTTCTAATGCAATTTTTTTATTTAAGCAACAGTCTACAGTCCAAGAAAAAATACTGAAAAACATTTTCTTGACTTCCCAGCAGTTCAACATCTTCATATGGCCGGTTAAATTATATTAGAAGGCTTAGTGACGATTCAGCACATTCCATTCACTTTCCCAATTCCCTCCCAGAGAAACAATTTAGTAATTTTACTCTAACTGAACTGCTCTGGACACAACTACCCTCTCAGTTCATTCATACCACAGTCTGAGTTTTTAAAACCCCTTTTTATTTTTCTGAAATAAAAGAAGATAAAATCAATGTTGTCAGCAATGCAACATTTTTTAATATGATTTCTTATTTAGGATATTATTGCATATGAAAGCAACAGTACGCAACTTTTTTGGTTTTAGATTTACTTTGTGATATTTTAGTAGAAGATTTTAACCTTATTTTATGTCAAAGAAATATACCATGAGTGGCCAGTCCATCCTCATCGTTTAAAAATTTTTACAATGACTATTATTTTTTTACAGTTTTAAAGCTGTAAAATGGTTTGGTTTAATTTTATGTTTTTTTCAGAATTAAAATGTCACGTTTAAAGAATATTTCCATGTTAGAAGACCTACATTTTGAGAACTACTGGTTTAGAAGGTTAAATGTATACTTAACAATCGAATTCTTTTCTTCGTTTTTAACTTTAGAATCTCGCTGCTATCTAGATATCGGGTTGTGGTAAGCGGACGGAATTGCTGTTTATTAAATAAAAAAGTAGTCTCGCTAAATTCAAATTTCAGAAACTATACAGAACTCTTTGTAGTAAGAATACAGTTAATAGGAAAATACCAGAAAACATTTGTACTGCACAAAATATGATGTAGTTTAATTAATACTGCATTCGCTAAGTAGGGTATTTTTTAATATTTGCTATTTAAGTAAAAAAGGGCCAAAAAGCACTACTAAACATAAATCTGATATTTGAAGTCCTTCAGTACGTTATATCAAATAATAAAAATAGTAATTATCAAAGTAAGCTTTTATGTCATGCTGATTTCAAGCAAAAGACGCACTGCATTTCAAGAGAGAAAGGAAATGGTATTTTTTTTTATCCAAAATTGCAGGGGAAAAAAAATCTGCATCATTTGCCTTTCAAAATGTATTGAAAGGCAAATGATGCAGATTTTTTTGATGCAAGATAAACTCCTTGGATCATTAATCACTAAAAAAATGGGTAGTTGAAATGCAGTACGTATAAATTAATTGCACAGTTTTATTTTTTTTAAAATTTACATTTAATTTAATTATTTTAAAATAAAAACTGTCAATTAAATAATTACAAAATTTATTTTCAAATAGTTTTTAAATTATTTTTTTTAATGTTAATTAATTTTTTTGTAAATAACAGTTTAATGAACGGTTTTTTAACACTTATAATACACTTATAAATAATATCTGAATTAAAGACAGCATCAAACATTTACTTTCGATATTATAAACGATGCGTTTCTTTAAATTAACTGCATCAGTGTTTGTAACTTGACTGTCATGGAATAAGTTACATAAATTTTAAAAAAAAAAAAAATCTAAGGCATAACTATTGTAAGAAATTTAGAATTTAAGGTCAAAAAATTATATGGATTATTGAAAACGAATTATGATTCTAGTCTCTAACAACAGCTAGTTGAAAAATATGAGAAAAAATAGAAAAAAAAATGATGTTAAGAGATTTCTTACCTTGCAGTCTGTGAGGAAAAAACCTTATATTTCGATTTAGTAGCCAGGGGTAGACATGCTGAGGTTCTCTTCCAATTAAATAAGGTAGTGGGGTTTGTATTTGGGGTTGAGCAACAGGTTCGCGATTCCCAATAAGAGAAAAACGCGAGCGTCTGAGAGGCAAACAGTCCATGCCGTCCTCGTGTGGATTAAGGCCGGGAAAAGCAGGCGATAAGTAGCTGTCAAATATGCTGGACGTGGAGTCGTATAAGTCTACAGCTCTTCCATAAGGTATATACGATAAATTTGGAACTTGCGTATCGGTCCTCAGCACATTTGGAATAGGACTACACATCCGAATTCCTTCAGTACTAGAAGAAGGAGTCTTCTCTTTCGTGCCTACTAATTCATCAATGGAAAATCCATGTTTTGGCTTAGTAGGTATAGGTTTCGTTAACGAAGGAGTTTCTTGAATCACAGACACACGCCTCATTATATCTGCAAAATTTGTACTCAGAAACTCACATCAAATGGAAATCTCAAACGTAAATGTGAACTACATCAGATTTTAAACTGCACAGTTATTAATAAATTCTAGCTTCCTTGTAAATGTTTTAAAGAATCTACTAAAAGATGTACTTATCAAAAGTTCTTTATCTCATGATAAATTCTTAAAAAACAAAACTCGAAGAATCAGAATGGATAATATCAGTTATCAATGACTATTTGAATTTTTATAAATAATAAAGAATATTCTGTTCTTTACGGAAGCACAGTTTAAAATAACTGAACTGTATTTTCTGTTCTACACGGGAGAGAAGCAGTAACAAGGTACTCCCAAGTCAAACAATTTCAACTTCCTCAAAAAATTTGTCGATAGCTTTGCTGCCGGAGCGGAGAAACAAATCGCCCGTTTTTCGAAACTAGTGTTTAGCCACCCTATCGTGTGAAGTTAACTGGATCCCCCCCCCCCCCCCGCCCTGGGTGAAGTGCAGTAACTTCGTTTTTCATTGGCTGCGGAGGTTGAAACCCAGGAACCGCCTCGAACTATTTCAGAAGTTTGTCCGAACTCATAGATTAACAACTAGCGCCATCTAGAGTCGTCGCAGAAAGTTTTCTTTTCAGGGACAACATGAATAAGAAACTGTCACGATGATCAGAGTGCAAAACTTCCTGCGAATTCTTAAAATTCTCAAGAAAATCTTCACGTTCAACCGATTCAAGTCAGCTTTATTCACTGGACGGAGGGAAAAGAATCGGTCAAATACCAGTTTAAAAAATTAGCTTGAATTCAGTATTAGATTAACTGGGGGGGAAGGGGTCATAAAAAATTCTATGCATTTCGAGAGAATTTCATACGGCTTCTTCAGGCAGCAAAATTATTCTATAACACATAATTGCTTCAAATTATATATTTTTGGTATATGAGACTTCAGAATATGTTTAACGTTTTGAAACATATTAGTCAGAAGCGGACCGCCCCGGGCCTGTGTTCAGGAAAGGGGGGTTCCGAAAATTTTTTATTTAAAATTTTAAACTATTTTATCAATAACTTGTAGAGTCATTAGGGTATTTGGAAGCAGGAGATGTGAAAAATGATCATTGCCCTCGCCGGGACTCGAACCAGGACCTTTCGTATACGCACCGAGCAGAAGCGTAGCTAGGGTTTAGAGCGCCCGGGGGACAAATGAAGATTTTGCGCCCCCTTTCTGTGTGCCAAGAATGGAAAACATTTCATTCTAAAATTTCATAACATCAATTTGGCGCCCTCCTGGAAGTTGCGCCCAGGGACAGCTGTCCCTCCTTGCCCCACCCTAGCTACGCCACTCGCGCCGAATGTACTACCATCACACCACGAAGGCATGAGGAAAGGAGGGAGAAAATGCCTTATATACTTCCTTATTTCATATTATGGACTTCTAAAATGTAATTTTTTCTTTTGGACCCGGTCTAAACTTTTATGGATCGCCAGGTGTTCATGTGGTACCCGGTCGGGAAATGCTGCTTTTCCTTAAGCCCTCACCTGTGTTAATTAGACCCTGGGCTTTTTTTATGAAAGACTCGATCTACGTTTAGATGTCACTTCATTTTAATTAAAGTTACTGGAACCAGATTAATTCCTCGAGTAAATTTTTATTAAAAACGTGTTTTATGCATTTTTGGGTATTCTGTGGCTATAAGTTTTAGATTCAAGTGGAAACTACCAGGCACCGATTGCAATGTCTCTCAATTTTTGAGCGAAATTGTAATTTTAAGCAGATCGCTTCGGAAACTCAAGTAAGATGAGCTTAGGTATTTTGTTGTGTAATTGAATCGCAGTATTAGCAGAAAACGCTCTTGTCAATGCAACATTTTACTCAGTGAAATTGACATTCATCCTAGCTACTGAATGTATGCCTCCTTTCTCCAATGAATAGCAAAATATGTTAAGCTCAAGCAGTTCGGGAAGAATCCTGTGTGTCAAAATGTGATCCTTTCAGGAAGAAAAAATACGCTCATTTGATCTGGGGGCTTTGAATTGACTAGAGCGAAGAAACGATTTTATCTGACTGGGAAGACTGTTTTTCAAATATTTACTTTTCTTTTATCAGATCTTTAGATTCTACTATGGTCATGTTATCCATAATTTATTCACCATTCAATTATTTTATTATTTCATTTAATTTTTTGATGTGTTTATTTTAATTTAATTTACCAATCATCCATTTATTATTAATTTAATATTATGAAGCGTAGTTTAAATTTCTAACCAGTTATTTTATATTAATTTTCTTTTCGTTCAATGTAAATTTCTAGCGCGCGAGTTTTTTAAATTAAGTAGAAAGAAAGAAGTATTTAAAGGACGTGCTCTGCTTGCTTGAAGGCCACGTTGCTAATTTTGATTCTCTAACGATCAGTATTCTGCGGCGTTGCTTGCTATTAAGCTTGTTACGCGAATTTCGGTCAGAGACAGCTTAAGTGCTAGTTATACTGTGAAGCTGTTAGGTTATATTTAAATTTCATTAGTTTTAGTTCATCCATTATCTTAAATTTAAAGCCAAAGCTATTGGCTTCTGTAAGCACGAATTGGATTAATAAAGAGTCCTTTACACCCTTTCCCTGTCTCTCTAGTACTCATAAGACCCAGTGAAAATTCACTACTTGTCTTTTAGAGTTCTGGACTAATGCTACCTAAGAAGGCCATATCTTATGGTGTATTAATATGTTTTATTTGTCTCTTTATGTTTTATTTAACTTTAATTACTTACTAGCTATTGTTTTATTTATTATTATTTTATTTATTTGTTTCCATTCACTGCTGCCGACAGCCTTCCATAGAGCCGAAAGCTTTGGAAAACTAGAAATGCAAAGAAAAACTCTTATTTGCTTGTCATAAACTAATAAGGACGTTTTGCAAAAAAATAATGAATATTTAGAAAGTTTATTAAAAAGTGATAAAAGATGGAATTTTGTGAAGAGATATCTAGTTAAGAAAATATTTACAGCGAAGATAAAAGTGAGTATACTCCACTAAATTGTACTTAATAATATTTATTTTTAAGGTATATATTCTATTCAGGTTGTTACTGACTTTACACTGATGATTCTATTAAGTTTTGCTGCTCTCTCGCCGAGATACGAACTAAGGATCTTCCATATGCCATCTGATGTAATAGCAATTTGAATTACGAATGCACGCACGCGAGGATGCTATAAATTTCTTTGCAACATGTTGGTGTTCCAGGCAGTAATCAACCTTCTTCGAAATTAAAGTTAATTAAGACCTAATTAGTACTACATTGCAGGGAAGCGTATCTCGCCAGTGGCCAAACGATAAAGTTGCTGAAATCTGCTAGTTCGACCCGGGTTCGATTCCAGGCGAGGCGGAAAGGCTGTCTGCGTGGGCGTTTTCCCCCTATGTAACGTGCATACGAGCCAATTCTCCATGAAGGCGTCCCTCCTCTTCGGCAGATAGCCTTTGCGTGTTTTGCATTACCCAAAGAAACTAAACCAAGCCATGTTACAAGAAATTTTTTAAATCTTGCATTAATAGAAAATAAAAATTACGCATGTGAATTTATGAATAAAATTGTTTCTCTCTCTAATTATAATTTTTTGAGACTAAACTAACTAAAAGAGACTAAACCAAGCCATGTTACAAGAAATTTTTTAAATCTTGCATTAATAGAAAATAAAAATTACGCATGTGAATTTATGAATAAAATTGTTTCTCTCTCTAATTATAATTTTTTGTAACTAAACTAACTAAAAGAGACTAAACCAAGCCATGTTACAAGAAATTTTTTAAATCTTGCATTAATAGAAAATAAAAATTACGCATGTGAATTTATGAATAAAATTGTTTCTCTCTCTAATTATAATTTTTTGAAACTAAACTAACTAAAAAACAACCAAGCCTGTACCGAAATTTTTAAATCTTGCTAATAGAAAATAAAAATTTAGCATGTAATTTATTAATAAAATTGTTTCTCTTCTCAATATAATTTTTTTTTGAAACTAAACTAACTAAGAAGTTAAGGTGTCTGAATTTTTATTATTAATAGCAATGTGAATTTATGAATAAAATTGTTTCTCTCTCTAATTATAATTTTTTTTCTATTTTTAGAGTGTTGGAAAGTAAAAAGTTAAGTATTGAAGTTCTATTTATTTTAACAGCACACAGAAATGTCACTCAATATTTCTGGAATTACTCTGAAATCTCAATTTTCTGCGCTAATGAATGCACAGTCTAACTGAAAAATAAAGTTAATAGAAAAATTACAGTATTTGCAGCGGCACATCTAAATTGAATTCTTCAAAGGCTGTAAACGAAATATGTACAATGTATTATTTAATATATTATTTAATGTAAATAACTGTGAAATTCGCTTAGATATTAAGTTTCTTTCCCAATAGTCTATCGGTAATTTAAGTTATATGAAAATGGCAAAGCATACGAGGGCTATCCTAAGATCAGGGATGCTTCGTGAACTACTTTCTAAGGAAAACTAGCTCGTATTCACGTTACACATGGGGAAAAACACGAAACTTAAACATGCAGCCAGCCCGTTCGCCTGGGGTCGAACTCCCAGTATCTTAGAGACTTGGTTACGTTGTTTCATCTACATCTTCATTTTCTTCTTCATGGTTTTCTGTTGGCTCTTCTTAAATTAAATTCTGTTAACTTTATGGATCCTTCATCGCCTGTCTTTCGCCATCCTTTACTTTTGCATTTTCTTCAAGTTTAATACAAATTCTCCATTATTAATTTCAACGAAGCTGAATGCTGTTACCTCTTTATTGGTAGAACCTTCCTACATTACGCTAAAAGAAACCTTTTTCTCAGATATGAATTAGCGTTAAGCTTTTAACTTAATCCAAGCATTAATAATGAGATCAGTTGCGTCAAAAATAGCGAAATTCTTCTTAAAAGTTACAAATATTTTACCTTCTTCAAACATCAATTTAGAAACATTTTAAAGAATATGTACGGATAATACGCAGAAGAAAAAAATCATTGCATTATTATGAAAATCGTAATAAAATTCGCCTTCATTTGCTTCAGAATACTCTAAGTGGTTTTTACTTTTACGCATACTTCTCAACGAGTTTACATGTTTTAGTGATTTATGAATTTTTTAAAACATTTATACAGATTTATACTTTGAAGGTTAAACTTTAACTTTTTGAGAAAATGCGATATCTTGAATTAGACCATATTAATCTTAATCTCTAAAAATATGTAATCCCTAATGCCTAATCCTTAATATGGTATTAACGAAGGAAAGGTATTAAGTACTTTGTAACTAAGGGTTTTGTTACAAATCAAATTAATTATTCCACTTCTGCTAATTAAATTTCCAATACAGCCTACTTGCGTATCTCAAATTTTTGCGGAAAAATAT